ATTGATACTTAGCAAATATACACATGTATAAATAAAATATGGAAAATTGAGCCCTACTTCCTGGATTGGATTATGGATCAATGAGTCCAATATTTATCCTGGACAAATAATTAGCTTCAGTCAGTCATGTAACCGAAATAAATACAGAATCATTGATTTGACTCATCCAGCCAGCCAGCATTGCACCCTTTCATTTCGTCCATATTTATCTAAACCACCCACCCATCCAGCCACCCACCCACCATAAAATTGAACCATTGGGTAAGTAATGTGTGCAAACTTTTGCAAAAAAAGTTGGTAATAAAATGAATGAGAGGTAAATAAAATCCATCAACAAATATTATCTCACAGTCGCTCACTCACACCATTTTATTGAGTATTTATTTTTTCGCCAATATTATTAAGAGGCATGATGATTGATAAGAAGTCCAAGTTCTTGAAAATATTGGAAGGCCGTGAATATTATTTACGACCATTATTTGCAATTTATTTTATTTTCCTCCAATTTTATCCTGGTAATATGGACGATTTTATCCTTCAAAATGGTCAGAAAAAAATACTTTTATTTTTAAATCTGCATTTTACAACGTGACGAAATTGGAGAAGAATAAATAAATAAACAGTTTGAAAAAAAATGTGAAATATTCATCCCATCTGCAAATATCATTAAAAAATTAGCGTTAACAAATTAATTCCCCCTCCACCGCACTAAATGTAGGTATTAATTATCATTATTGTAACTATTATTCCGTCAATTAAGCACATATTTATCAGAAGATTCGCGTTATCAGCATCAGCATGTCATGAAATCATGCTTTATATAACCGCGTGCCGTGGTGGAATACCTGCCCGTTTTTAAATTACGGCATCACTCGCCTTGAAAAGTTTGATAGTGCGTGTGCAAGATTGGCACACATAAAATAATTGCAGCGAGCAGAAAAGATAACTAAATTGGCACCCATTATTAGTCAAAGTCTGTCAATTGCGTCAGTCAAAATCAGAACAAGACCGACAGACCAGCCAAAAACTCATGCATGCATAAAAAATAACCATTCAAGTAGGTGGTATCATGGTATCAAGCGATTATTGAGTCAATTGGATTGCGGGATCAAAAACCACACAATTGAAAAAAGGTTTGATTTGAGGATTCAAAATGGTCACTACTTATGGTGCAGTTTATATGTTTTTTATTATTATTACAAGTGCAGTTACACTGCAGGTGTACATACATATGGACTCATTCACAAAAAAGTCAAATAAGCACTTATCACCGTCGGTGTCGGTGTCGTCGTCACATAATCATCATTATCATATCGAAAAAACTCTGCTGTGTGATGCATGCATGGTTCAGTGTGACGGATTTGTCTGGTTAATAGCATAATTTACATATCCTCTAACTATTTTAGGGTATATACAATTATAGAATAATTATTGCCACACACGCCCCCCCAATTCTCTGTACTAAATAATCCTATAAATGCACACGTGTAATTATACAAACGATTTCAGTAATAGTATACTGAACTTGATTCCATACCAGTTTTTGTCTTTTCACATCCGGTGTGTGTTCACTCACACAAAAATTACATCGTCAATTCATTATGAAGAGATTAGGATGGGAGGAGAATGGCATGACACAAAAATATTTATAGGGCTCCGCAATTTGTTGTTATTACCTCTCGTAATTATCGTCAACATCGAGTTCCTCGTATTATTTTAACGGGCTGTAACATTTTCTTTTCTCGGTAATCACGTATCAAACATGCCCATCAATCACATGATGAACCTTCAAAATAATTGGAGTGGACAAGAATTCAACGAATCGGTGGTCAAGTCGAGAGGGTGGTTTGGTTATGTGCATGAACGTGATATTTACTATAAGTACATATGGACGTAAATACCGCAGAGCATTAAAATTCCATGCAGTAGCCTCATCATCATCACATCTTATCCAGTAATTTATGATCCTCTCGTGCTTATCGTATGGTTATGATATGTGAAACATTATCGTTTCATTGTGGTGGTGCATTTTTAAGTTTTTTTTATATTCGTGTAGTGTGACGCAATAACCATTATTTTAACGCTTCAATTACCTTACGAAGTAAGAGATCGATATTATACGAGAAAAAAATTATATTTAAGGTTTGATTGCATAAGTACATAAATGATCTCTCAAAGAGTAAATTACAAGGCTATTTCTTATTATATCATCATCATCTCGTACATACTTTAATGACTCAAACTGTGGGATGATGTTGATGATGATGATGATGCTGCTGGCTACTTGCGTATTTGAGTAGTTCGTTAGAATTGCAAGAGCCAGCCAAGCACTTATTTAATAAATATTTAGTCATCACGTAATCATAATAATATTCTCGCGACATGTATGAGATTCATTCACGACATGACCGCACCATGTTTCTCGATAAGATAACTCGTACTTATTGGTTGTGTCACTCGTGTCAATTTAGTTTATTATCAGGATGGGAAAAAAGAACAGGACAGACTTTACATGTTCATGAATTAATTGAATGAGCTGGGTTTTGTGATCTTTGGAATTGCCATGAAATTTCATACCAGTATCAGCCAGCATCATGAGATAAATGTGCGAACTGAAAAATGCGTCATATCCCACCCGTCGTAACCCAACCCAACCTTTGTGAAAAACTGCAACACAACAGAACACAACACATATTTTGGCACTATTTGGCTTTGACTTTGACATTAGGATTTAAAATAATAAAAAAAACAATTAGATTTTTCCTTGTTACATATTCTATTCATGTCGTTACGTCATGAGGACTTGTAAACAAAAATGTGTATTATGAAAGTATTAAATAAGAGTAAATTTATATAATGTGTGTATATTTACTTGTAGTAGAAATTGGCACAATTCTGTACTACGCAAAAAAATATGTAGTAAATTGTATGACACTGACAATAATAATAACTCATCAATTCAAGCTAGTGACCGCAATGTGTCTGCAATTTCCTGCATGCATTTCTCATACCGGGCTTATTTTCCGTCGGTCTGTCTCGTATAATAAATATGAGACCAGTCATCATCCGTTCCCGGAACTAACTTCCAAAACTTCGTCGTGCTTGTTGTGACCCAAGAATGGAATGGGAAATGAGGTGGCATTATGGCATTATTGTCAGTTGTAGTATTGAGAAAGGTAAAGGTTTAGAGAAAAGTAGACTAAAACGACATGCCACGTGGATTACTTACTTAAGCACCCAATGGCCAACTCCATTACGAGAAATATGTAATAACCACCATTCCCATTACGGCAGGAATTTTACAGAGAGGAGGATGTGCACCCTTTTGGCTGGAAGTAAGTAGTTTATTATGAGCGATAAAGACCTAATTTCTTGTAAAATTGTGTTACAGGACTTTTGCATGCGTTGCATTGCATTGCATTTCATTGGGATATTCCACAAAATATTATCATTGTCAACAACTACTTCCACGCGTTGGACTTTCCACATGTGTTGATAAGTAATAGGCAGGCAACTAATATGCTCGTGTGTGCATCATCATCATCTCCTTAATAAAAGATTACCCTCCTTAATGCATTACTTACTACGACTACTTTACTTACTACTAGTTTTGTCCACGTCAGCATAATACTTCTTATTATTGGCTCACAGGATTACGTAGTCTACTGCCTGACTATCCTTCGTCATCCAACTATTCTGTGAATCATCATACATTTATTGGTCACCATACACCACACAGTTTTTCATTAAACTTCACTTTACAATGTTTTCTGCCTTTATCATTATTTGATCCAGTTTTGCATACATTACATACTTCAACACTCTCGTAAATAACTGAATTAAAATGATGACGAGAAGAAGCTATTTATTACACACGAAGAATAATCAGTGCAAAAGAGAGAGAGAGAACTACGTAATAATATTGCATTAACATTTATGCTTTACTCACATTGGATAAACGAGTGCTTAATAAAATTGTAATTGAAAACCTCACGTTTAAGCTACATCCATCCATCCATCCATAAGTAATGTATGCCATGAAAGACCAGACTAGACCAGACCAGTCACAGTCTGCTCGTATAGCAAATGTACTGCATTTAAGGTATAATTCTTGCTGAATGAAGAGTGTAAGTAAATCAAGTGCTTTTAGCAATAAAATACAATACGATAATCCAATCCACCATACACTAAATAATTATTATACCACCAGAAATTGTACGTACCACAGCACAGCCTTCAATATCTTGGCTTCTTTAACATTATTTTCCATGAATGCGAATGCAACGTGGCTTAAGTAGTGGTTTATACCATACGTTCGCCATGCTACTATTATGCAATGCGGCGCGCATCCAATGATGATGACACGAGGGACGGTGTGGCACGGCGTGGTCACCTCACTGCCTGCATTACATGGCTGGGCGATGCAATATTCCAGGAAAATTCGTGATGGATAATGAATAATGATCGTCTCGTAACTCGGACTTATCCTCGGCTTAAAAAAGACACACTTTTTTTTAAAACTTGGATTTGCCAAGTGGTGTGTACACATAATAATAATAAATATGATGATGAATGGTTTAGAAGTTACATTACATTACACGCTATAAACTTGACTTGGGGCTTTTCTCCCATTATCTCCTCTCTGGGACGCGTAAACCCCACTAAAGACAGAAAACCCATGCATGCCAAAAGAGCCATATGCCATGAGAGTAGTGAGTATCAGGCCGATAATATGCATGCACTACTGCGAATAGGAGATTGTAGTTAAAAAACCAAGTGCATTTTATTTTACTTGACTAAAAAAGAAGTAGAAGCATTCAAATTCATCCCATCTGTTAGAAAAGAGAGAGAGAGAGGGAGGGAGATCCTATCCTAACAATTGTCAAGCAAAAGGAAGACATTCATCCTTCTTCATCTCTGTGTGAATGATGCATTCATTACGTTATTTCATGAGATTTTATATATAACTATGATCCCCAAAGTAAGTCGACTTCACAGTCACCCTGCAGCTTTGCACCGTTAAACAAGTCCACGTCCACCATTTCTGCATGTATGGTAATTATCAGTGCAATTACTACCTGTGTGTACTACCTGTGTCGAAAAGCTTAACCTTAATTCTTTCTGTTTCTTAATAAGCCGGTCGTCCTGGTATAGTTCAAGTGTCGTATTGTTCCAGATAATACTAAATAGGCGACGAACTAGTCCCAATTTGCCTCTTAGTCAAATCTTGGGTGAAATCGAGTCCATGCCGAGAACATATTACATTTTTAGTGACAAATACTACTATCCCCCACAAATTGATTGAAATAAGTTTCAAAGTTTTACATATTTCATCATCACCATCATCACGAAATCGCAGCACATGGTGTAGCAATAGTGAAGAAGACGAGAGGATTTTATGAGTATGATAATTATTACGTGGTTTGCTTTTGCCATGTCCTATTCCCATGCATCATCATATCTGCATATCCATAAGTAAAGTGTAATGTTGAGGAGGATTTTAATATTGAATACTTAATGTGCCAGACTAAAACAAGCAAAGCAAGTAACAAAAGTATAGTATGATGATGATAAAACCCACCAACATTACGACGACGACGACAAAGCAGCAACCTTCGTAGAGACCAGACCACTCGCAATTCAATCAAGTATAAACCTAAACCACAAAACTGGATGATTCAGTACAGTTGAGATTAGTGAGTAAGAAGAAGCAGAATAGAAAGAACCAACCATTTAACACGGAACTTTTACATGCAGTCAGTCAGTTACACATTCACATAATAGCCGTTTTACATACATACATTTACTTGGTGTTATTAGAGCAGCAGCAGCCGAATACATACGCCAACCAACTAACTAACTACGTACACGAATAGTATGAGCAGCAAAGTTATAAGTCGACGCGTTGTTAGTTATTAAACATATGAAACCACGGTTCAAAGTCAGTTCATTTTAATCGTTTGAAACATCCAGTCCTCTCCTCGCCTCGGCTGGAAGAAGAAGTGTATATTTGACAATAGAGAGAAAAAAATAAGCCATAAAAATAATAATATTCCGTCTCCCTCAACCTCCTAGAAGAAGGAAGGAAGGACGTCGTCGTGTCAGCCGAAGAAGAAGAAGAGAAGAATGTACCCTTCTTACCATTGTGGAAATAAAGAAGTCAACTATTTAAATAAACGTTTAAAACGGATCGTACTAGCGCAATCTTTGGAAAGTGGGGGTTCTTACAGAAGACAGAATTACATCATTCATCATCCCAACTCTGAGAAGGTGATTCTTGATAATATCGAATCCTATATTGAACCTCCTGGACGATTTGGTCTCAGTTTTTTTGTGGGACAATATCCTAACACAACGTCTTAGCGAGATAGAGACGGTTAAATTTAGCATTATTTTATGTATAACTAACTACTGATCTCGGATATCATCGTAAAAGTAACTATTTTCGAGGGGTGCATTAATATAACTGTTTAGTTAAAAAATAATAATTGTAGCAATAATAATTGAAATCTGAGACTTGAACGAGTGATAAAGTACATACAGCCCACCAGAACAACACACCAACCACACCACCATCGTCCATCCAGAGTGCAGACAAAGCAATTTCACGATAAAAGTGTGACTCATATTTTTCTCTAACCAAAGCCAATGAACGTCAATCCGAAGAAGAACACACCACCAAGTTGGACATAACATAAAAAGAGTGACGAAGACGAGGACGAAGACGACGCAAAAAATAATAAAACTTGTTTTCCAAACAAAACTCTTGCGATTTCTCGAGTCCAAGAAGAAGTTACTCAATAGTCCAGTAAACTCCAGAGCAGTCGGATTTCATACCAACCACCACCAGGCACCGATCAACCAACCACGCGGCCGATTTTGCCAATTTTTCTTCAAGTTCAATGAACAATCAGTGGGAGCACAATAGGTTCACGATTTCTTCATCACCGAGTAATAATTAATTGCACAATATTAGTGACACAATCAAAATTTAGGAACAATTAATAGTTAACAAAATTATCAGTCGAGAGTAAAAGTTGCTACGAAGATGGACAAGTTTTTTCCCTACATGTTTGGAGCCGTGCCTCCCCCAATGAACACGTATACTTATTACGACTCTCTCATCGTGGTGGATTTCGAGGCCACCTGCGACGACGCCAAGACGACTGGAGGCGACGCGGCGATCCGCCCGCTGCGGTCGGAACGGCAAGAAATCATTCAGTTCCCCGCCGTCCTTATCGATGTTAGACAGATGACAATCGTTGACCATTTCGATGCCTACGTTAAGCCTGTCGAGAAGCCAGTGCTGAGCGACTTTTGCACATCTTTGACCGGAATTACACAGGTATATTGGCAATCATCATACGTTTTCTTTTTTACGAGATGGGAGTTTTCGAAATTCATTCAAATCGTGGTTTCTTCAGCATAGAAATAGATTGAGAATAGAGTCAAAAATGTAGAAAGAGAGAGATACTTTTCAATTTAGATAGAGAGATGCGATGAGGACAAGGAGACGTAGTTAACTGTTATCATTTCTTTCTTCATAAACAAAAATAATTAGTGAATTTTCCTCGCAAAGTTCATGCAGATTCAGTTACCTTAACAAACTTGGGAATGAAACCCCATGCATGAAGCAAAAGCAGCAGTAGCAGCAGGACACCTTTTACTCCAAGCCTTATTGCATGCCTTCTTCTGCTAAAAGTTTGAATAACGTTTAAAACTGTACCCTTTCGCATTCGGTTACAATCCCATTGTTTATTTGTTATTATTGACATCGGTGTGTGTGTCTCTCTCTCATTCGTATATTTCGAATAGGGAAACAGGAGGGTGCAGCATAGTATGATTTGAAACTCAAAAACGTGAACATATGCATTGTAAAAACGTCTTCTAGTTGAGAGGGATAAGTTTATGTAAGGAAGGCGAAAGATGATGATGATGATGACGATCGTGTATTTAATCCCTTCTCCGTTGTAACTTTTATTACAGGACATGGTCGACAAAGCCTCTCCGTTTCCAAAAGTGCTCCGCAAATTTGAACGCTGGCTAAAGAAACATGGACTCAGCAATAGTGGAAATGGGAGAACATTCGCAATCGTTGCTGACGGTAAGAGAGAATAATAACAATCAGTATAAAATAACACTAAAACTACTTAAGTATGAATGCCTTCTCTTCTTTTTCTTTGTTCTTTTTTACCTAATGTGAAAATGGCTAAACTTGAGAAGAGGTTTTGTAAATATTTTATTGATAACAGATTTTTTTCCCCTACAGGTTCGTATGATATGGGACATTTCCTATACAAGCAGTGCTTGGTAAGTAAGATAAAATAACAAAGATGTTTTTTTCACGTTATTGTACCCACCACAAGTTAAACTTTCATTTTTGCGTCTCATTTATTTTATTCATGCGCCTTTACTTTTATTTATTTCACACTATGTAATAATATGCACTTCCTCTCAGTCCTCCCTTATTCTACAATTATTGAGAAGCACCAGCAGAGTTTGTTCTTCTTCATGCATAATCATCTCTTCTTTTTCTGTAAATTGGATATATAGGTAGGGAACAAGAGAGAGAGGGTGAGGTTGGTGGCAAATTGTTAGCATTGTCGTCGTGACGTAGTTAACATTATTTTCCACCGTATTCATCTAACCCTCTCCCCCCCTCAAATTTCCTGCTGGTGATAAAATGCCCAAGGAACAAAGGATCTAACGAGAACGAGCAAAAGAACAAATTCTTCGAGATATTCCATTCTTTTATTATATTCCATATTTTATCTACTAGAAGAGTTCTACGAACTTCTTTACTAATTACGTAGGAAATTCGTTCTCATTTTATATTTTATTTAAACACTGCATAATAACGTGCCCCCCACTACTGGTAGTAATAGGAATAATAGTAATAACCATCCAAATACCACACTCCGGGTCGAATTGCGTAGTAAAACGATGAGGATTTAATGAAATTAGTAAGTCGACTGCGGTTTTACTGTTTAATTTTTTAGCCTTGGAATTGATGAGCATATTAATTTGACACTTTTTTTAAATTGGTCATCTCTCTCTCTCTCTCTTTCCCTAAGAGGGATATGAATATGATGACTGATATGAAATGCACGTAGAAAGTAGAGTGGTATTTAATGTGGTGGTACATTTTTTGTTTTGTTTTTACACATCGTTCTTTTTTACGAGTAAAAAAATAATAATTTCAACGCCTACTTCTTTATTACTTGCAGATATCGAACATCCCTTTTCCTACGTACGCGAGACGCTGGGTGAACATACGGACGAATTTTTCCAAGTTTTATGGACAGAGATGGGTATGTATAAATATATTATTTTCATTCCTCTTTTTGTACATCTTATATTTTTTATTTTGTTTGTTTACCCCCTTTTTCTATTTATTCACTCCTTCATCACCAAGTGAGGCATGTTATTCATGCACGTATGTAGGTACACACAGAGATAAAGATAAAGAAAGCATCATCAAAAATAGAAGGGGAAAAATGATCAGGAATATTACTATATCGAGATATTCTCTCACCTTCATTTATACTTAGGGTTACACATGTATAAGCAGAGCTGGGTGATTATTGGTTTTTGAGGGTGGATTAAGGATTATGGATTAACCACAAAACAATGTGGATTGTGATTAAATTATTTTCGTGAGATTAATTCATGTCAGGATTAATCCGGATTAATCCATAAATTCTTAAAATTTCGGGATTATGGATTATGGATTAATAATCCGGATTAATTTGGTGATTAATGATTTTTCACTATATCTAGCGCAAAAAATTTCAACTACGTGGTTTTATATAAAAATGACGCCAGTTTCAATTGATATATGTATGTAGCACAGGGCAGCGAGAACATGTTGATTCTTCAAATGGTAGCTGACAGAACAACATTATGAGAACTTGAGACTTCAAGCTACACTGTGGGATTAGGAGTGGCAATCCGATCCGATCCGAAATCCGCGGATCAATCCGAATCGGATCGGATTGACTGTTTGATCCGAACACCTGCTTAATCCGAACCGGATCAATCCCATGGCGTCATAATCCGATCCGATCCGACGGATTGCCACTCCTATGTGGGATGAATGGAACTATGGGAATTGAACTGAGTAATCCAGATTGAGAATTAATCATGAATACGTAATCATGATTAGTAATCATGATTGGGATTAATCAGGATTAGTAATCCGTAATCACGATTATGGATTAATGAAATCAAATGGGATTATTCCCGGATTAATTCTAATTCCAGAAAAATCGGGATTATGGATTGGGATTAATCTACAAAAATCTCACATTGCCGGATTAGGGATTATGGATTAATAATCCATAATCCGGGATTAAAATCCATAATCCTTAATCAGGATTATCCCAGCTCTGTGTATAAGAAAAGATTCGTTTCGTGAGTCGTTTATTTTATTCGTAGGGTAATAGGTAGGCAAAATTTATTGCTATTTTGCAGCCGTAAACAGATTTTTGCACTCTTTTACAGTTTTGTCAAACACATACACGAGCGAATGCACCTATATAAGTAACACAAAAAATGGATGGATGGATAGAGTGAGAGAATGAATTATGAAAATGAAGGAAAAAATTTCTCATCTCGTAAAAAGAGAGAAACTTTAGAAAAAATATTATTGGCATCTCCTCGTCCTTTAAAAAATGGACATGTTTAACAGATTTGGGTTTGTGCGACATGCACACACTTGAAATTTATTAATGTATCGGTGGATGGGAGAAATAACAGTTTAGTTTCACCAACTGATTGTTTAACTGCATTATTATTATGATTATTATTATTATTATTACTGCAAAGAGGTGCAATGTTATGCTATTATTATATTTATGTTGTTGGCAGGAGATGATGATTATAGGTTGGGTCATAAATAAGACATACACAATTTTATTTGCATAGGAAATAAATTGAAAAAACTGATGTTGAGTCTGGTAATAAAGAGAGTTCGTCACGAATTAGTTAGTACGAGCAGCAGCATCTCAAGTTATAGAATAGAACAGTAATAATAAATAATAATAACATAATATGCATTTTCAAAGAACAAAGGGAACCCACTCACTCGCTCGCTCGCCCCACAAAGAATAAATCCTTGCATTATTATTATTACATGATTTTTAAACATTAAATAAGACAAGGATGTAATAATAATAAATAATAATCAATTTTTATTTCTTTCTTTCTATTTATAGTTCAGCCTAAAGTCCGTATTGGAAATGATGGGACAACCGTTTGAGGGCCGACAACACAATGGGCTCGATGATGCTAAAAACATTGGAAAAGTGCTACTTCGAATGCTCATGGATGGGTGCATCATCGCTCAAACTGAGAAAATCATACTCGATTTTGAAGACCAGGAGAAAAACGAGATTCGAATTTTGAATGATAAGCACGCAGGAAAATATGACCTTGCTACTGTAAAACCTGTCTCGTGTAACGAGTGCATTTATATGCTTCCTCCGAACGTGATGTTCCGACAACCCCCAGAGACTGATCCAATTTCGTGCTATTCGCTAAAGTTCGATAACAATAAGGAAAACTTCCCCGCAAAGTCAGAGAGAAAGGGAAACAAGGGGGGTTCTCACGAGAAGAGGGAAAGGCGAGGAAAAAAGAAATCGTCAAGATCGACGGAATTTTCTTCTGCCCTTCAACAACAAGGGTCGATGATGCCCCCTCGATGTGGGGTGTGCAATGGTATGAAGCAGACGGTTGCAGTGTCATCGCCATCCACCGAGGATCATGTTGTCCCTAATCATCATCATGTCCCGGATGAGGAGTAGGATAATATATAATATAAAGATTGATTCATTTACATATACATCATAAATCTTGGTGGTTACCATATTGTTATGAATTATAGTTAGGTTTGATAAGTTGGTTTATTATGTCACCATCTCCTTTACTCGACGTTCCTAGTAACTAAAATTCACAGTTAAAAAAACCTTCCTTTGTGTAGGTCAAAACTATTGAAATTTTGATTAAGCATATAACACTTGTGTTCTAGTTTTATTGTTCAGAGAGATTATTATTATAGTTTATTAGTTAGTGCGAGTCTGAGTAATTATTATTACTACACATCCATGGGCAAAATTAATTGGGGACCAAGCGTATTTTAATACCATTAACAACAAAATCAATTGTTTTTTTTTTATACCGCAAACGAGATGTTTGTTTTGTTTTTCTTTGTTGTAACTTGTTTTATACTGTGAAAGAGTGCAAGTAAAAGATTTATATAATTATTATTATTGCAGAATTATACGATCATAAGTCTCGGTAGAAAAGCTTGTTTGTTCTTATATTAATACTGAACTAAAGCTACATTTGCCTTGCAATAAATGAACTCGTTTTTATGAATTTTTAAACTATGAAACCAAAATTTGTTCAATACATATATGCGCATTTGAATTGATTGTTCATAAAATTGCGTAAAACACTTAAATTTATTGTCATATTATTCAGCATCTCTATTTTTTGGCATTAAATATTACAAAACAACTAAACTTAACTACAATCTGTTTGGTAACTCCTAAAAATAGAAAGCCATATTAATTATATTGCTGATATCAAACCGGTGGTGGGTACTGAATTCTACTAGTCGAAAGATCTGTGGTAACATTAGCTATGTCTTGTGGTTTGTCACTATTTTTCCTCCCGAGATAAACCCGGTCGTCTTTATCTATCGCGAAATTATAATCTGTTTGCACAGAGAGCGCCTTTGCAATCGCTTCGTCCAGTTTATCCTCCGTGATTATGTCTTTCAATTTATTCTGGAATTATTAAATTAAAAACTCATTTAGGTGCTTCCTCAACACATCATTAAAAATGTATGTAATTTACCAGTTGATGATGCAATTTTTCCTCCGTAATTTTCATATCTTGCAGAGCTTTGTCTTCCAACAGTGTTTTTTCTTTTAATATGTCTGCCTCGATTTGCCTCCATTCTTCAACTAATTGTTTTTCTCGGATTTCTTTAACAATGGCATTATCGCGTTCCGTTTCGGCTAATATTCTCCCCCACTCATGCTCCTCGCTCCCCTCGTTCGTCGCGGTAAGACTTCTGGCTGATTCTTCCTCGGATATTTTTTCTTGAAAGGCTCTACAAGAAATTATAAAAAATGTGAAATTAGTGGTAATTTTCATGGCTTAGGTTGCTTTATTATATGATCTTTCTTACACTAGCGAACCCGAGTATATTCGGTAATTATTTTGCAGTCGTTGAATTTCCTCTCCTTCCAAAACAGGACGATAAGGCATTTCTTTAATTTTATACATTTTCGATTTTGCCATCGGCACCCATCGAGGTTTTCGAGCGTAGCGGACGCTACACACCAAAACGGAAGAATTAACACGTAACAAAGCACAAGTTTGTGTTCTTATAGCGTTCATGGTTTAATATTTTAAAACCACATCAACTGATAACCAAGAGAAACCTTATATTATTATTAATTACGTATTACAAGATGATAAAATTTAGAAAATATAGTTTCACCACCAAGAATCGTGCAAATTTAACTGAATTTCAAATCGGATATTCTAAATAATTCGTCAGAAAACGTAATTATAATTAATGTTGAAGAACAATTATTTATTTAGAACAATATACGAAATTATGGCGAAAATTGTAAAAATCAGTAGCCCACCCGGTTTTTACTACTCGTTTATACACATGCACATTTATGCTGCGCGGAGTTGAAGTTGGTTTCTCGTCTCACTCATGAAATCAAGAAGAATGACAAATTTTACATTTTTAGTATCAAACTTTCGATGATCTCACTGGTTTTATTTTATTTCGAATTTGAAGCAGTAAGATTCGAAGATGAGAAACAGATTAAACATAAAAATACAAGTTTGTTATATCAACGAGAGATTAATCATCGTGTGGAATTCCTGTTTCCGGTATAATTATCCCACGTTCCTTAAATGCCTTAATTCGACGAGCATCCTTTATCTTGCGTTCTTCTTGTTCTTCTCGTTGAGCGGCCAAAATTGTTTCGACAGACACGGAATGAAGCGGACTGTTGTCTTCTTTCTCTTTGTCCTGCAAATTGCAATATTTATGTATAACGTAAGAATTATGCAAGACACGCAGTTTTATAATTTTTTTATGACTCACAATTTCGCCGATAATCGTAATGTTATCGCCTCGAACTAAAAAGACTCCGCGAGGAATATCACCAAAATTGCTTCCGACATGAATTCTTTCAACGGCTTGATGAAGAATTAGATTTGCGAATTGGTCAACCGAACGAAGGATTCCAATCAACGTGCGACCATCTCGCAAAACTACGAGAATCCGTTCTGAAATTATGATGAATAGGATATTTTTATATAAATATATTGCTTATTATTGTGTATAAATTCACTTACTGTCAATCTCATTCAACAAATTGGCACACCCTTCAATGATTGTTGGATCCAAGTCGGACGACATAATGTGTAATCTTTGTGGTATTATTATTGCCGATTTTTTGAAGGAATGTGGGGTGGGCGTGGTTCGTCAGATGGGATGTGGTCCTAGTCAATTCTGATCATTTTCTTCATGCTGAATTTAAAGAAAACAAGAAGTATTTATAAGTTTCTGGTTACAATTTAATGTTTCATATTTTTAATGTCAAGATCAGGGCAAAAAAGTACTTACCAAGTCGAAATATTGATTATCTTTACACCTCAATATACAATGTAGAAACGAAACACGAATTCGAATCGAATTCTACCAATTTAAATCCAATTATATAGCCACTTGCGATTTTCAACAGCTCCGGCGAAATTTCACAAGCTTTTTGATGCAACTACGGTTCGCTCTGGATTTGGACGGATTTGTACAAAAACGGATGGGGCAGTTTGCATGCAGAGACGAGGAGAAAGCTAATATTACAATCAAACTATGTTGCAAATTGCAAATTCAATTGTAAAATTTCTTACCAGGTATGATTTGAAATTTCTAAATTATAGTTCGCCGCGACTATTTTTAACGAATTTTGATACTAAATTTAGGATAATATGATGTCATGAAAGGTTGCATAACCTTTGCAAGATATAATTCTTGTGATGGTCGAAGGTTAAACTACCGTCGGTACAAAATAATAGGTCAATTGAACCCTACTTAAAATTATATAAGATTACATTCAGCACAAAGTCATTTCAGACATTCCCACATCTGATAAAAATTACGTAAATACATAAAAGTCAAGAAGAATGCTGCCCCTTTTGTACAAGTTCTTAACCAAAATATGACGATAAAAAACAATTTAATTGTGTACCCAACCGTTAACTTAACCAATTTAGAGAGACATTTTATTTTACGACATTTTCAGTTTTTTTTCCTTCCATTTAACATTGTCTGGTCACGGAACGTCGTTGCATTCACCGCACGGAGAAAGCATGACGATTGCATGTGTCACTTTTAATTGAATTTTTATGCCATAATACTCCCATCAAAAGTGAATGTTGTGAATCCAGGTTGATTACTTGCACCTGTGTCGTGTGAGTTTTAAATGACTCCACAAATGCTGCTATCACTTTGGTTGGGGGTGCACGTTTCAGGAGAAAGCAGAGACAGAGGGGCACTCTTACTCACCCAGTCTTTTAGCAGATATCGGTCTGTGTGTGTATGCATTTCTTTATTACTCTTTGTTGTTCGTGGTGTGTATTTAATTTCTGGGATGGCAAAAATCTTCCCACTACGTGTAAAGTGATTGCATGATTTTCTCCCCAAAAATTGTGGAAGGAATTTATCCTTAGTTTAGTAGCGCATGTGAGAAGTGTTTTGCACTTTATGGGAGAAAGTACATAAGCAGTCAACGTGGTGGTCGTGGTCGTGGTGGGTTGTAACCGTTGAGAATGGTGTCAGTTGTTGGTGGAGCTTCTGCCTGCCACCAATGTGACCACTTTGCTTGTCCTGCTGCAAAATAAGCGAGACCAATTCGGTCTTTCGTACGTCATACATATCTCTTTCTCTCCCTCCATTTGCGTATGTATAGTTATGTCTTGGCAGAAAAAGAGTACAACAACCCCGTCATCGAATCAACCGCACGGCGAAACAAATATTAACCATTCATCATCCATTTCATACGAGTCACCAAAAACGACAAACCCTAAAAAGACAAGTTTGACGATAGATATTGACGAAGAACTTGCCCGCTTAGAATTAGATGAGTTTGTCCATTCGTTGGAACCTCCTGCCCCCACGGAGACGAGTAGCAGTGGTGGTGGTGCTGTAGGTGGTGGTCATAAAGGACACAAATCTGAGGTGACTATATTATATTGAGTATAAAATATGAAGTAGTGTAGGAGGTGAATCAAGCTCGACCTTTTAAATCTATCAATCTGTAAAGGATGACGTGCTGCCAGTCCACCATCAGTCGGATTCGAGACGTCACCGTGACCATGAGAGCGGTACTTTCTCCTTCAGTGTCACTTCTCTCGGGCCAAAGCAAAAATCTCGCTTTTTAGTCTAGTCTATCGCTTCGGATAGCTTTTTTATGATCAGCTTTCACTTTTCGTCACACTCTTCTTCTTCTCCTTTGTCGTGTATGTACGATATCTAGAAATGGAAAACAGTAAGCTTCCCACAACAGTGAATGGTTCCGTCGTCCAGCAATCTGGTGGTCCTCCCCCGGCGCAGACTGCTGGTGGTGGTGGGGGTGGGAGGCGTGAGGGCAAAAAGGTCCCGACCGATCTCACAATTCCAGGTAAATTATCGCTGTAAATAATCTGTTCATGAAAGGCATCCCTAATTTTTTCCATGATTAAATTCAGGATCTGTAGTCGACACGCCCGCACTGCGATCCGAACTTCTCGTCGCCGTGGAACAGAACAAAGTAGAAAAAGTGAGACGCATTCTTAAAGCAGGCGTGGATACGAATGCCATTTGCGACGATAAAGGTAGATGGCCCCTGCACATTGCGACATTGCTCGGCTTCACGGAAGTCGTAAGTGGAGAGAATAAGAAAAACATGAAAAATTGCGTCATATCACGTGTTTCTTAACATTTCCATCATTTATCCCCAGAGTAAACTACTTTTGGAGCATGGGGCACAAAAAGATCAACCCGACACGGCCCTAGAACGCACCCCACTTTTGTACGCGGCTGCCACGTCTTCTGAAATAGTACAATTATTACTCAATTACAAGGTTGATATCCACGCCGTGAATAAATTTGGAGCGACATGTCTCCACTATGCGGCTGGGTCAGGTAACAATAGCGTCGTTTTACGTATTTCATGTCATACCCATTGTCAAATTTTGTATGAGAACGTATGCATGTATTCATGTCCTCCTCTCATGTCATGTGCAGGCCAATCGGAATGTTGCAGAATTTTAGCTTCCGTAGGATGTAACGTGAATGCCAGAGACAAGCAAAAAATGACGCCCTTGCACATGGTGAGATTGACAACCTTTCGAGTTGTTTTTCAGGAAATGTATTAAATTTTATATGTGTGTTTTGCATTATTGTACAGGCGGCCCGAGTCGATGATATCTGGAGTATTGAGGTAAGTCGAAATTATTGTCATTGACTGTTTTCATTATTATGTAGTGTATCTAGCTTGTACATGTGTTGCGTATGGGAGAAACTATGTCGTAGTAGCACAAAGTTATTAAGTTTTATTATACAACAATAGCAAGCAGTATAGGGAGTCCAGTCGACTTTTGCTTTGCCAAATTCCAGTAAACGAGTGGGTTGTGTCCACATTTAAAACGGAAGGATAGGAGGAAAATAAGCAATCATCCCTTCTCGAATAATTTATGAATCCTGCCCATTGATTTTCCACTTTGCAACCAATAAGTTGTTGACTCTGTTTTTTGAACCGTGCTTTACATGAAAGAGTGAAAGCAGCTGCTGTGTGTGTTATGAGCGACTGGGTGAAAGTGTCCACCCGAATATTCACAACTTTGTTGGTAGCAGAGTAAATAGTAAATAGGGAGGAAGGAGCAGAAGGCATGACAATTCTAATTATCACGACGAGCAGACCCACCCTTAACTTTTCGAATGTTCGATGTGTTCATTAAATTCGCATGGGAAAGAAAATGTGTGCATATGTAAAATCGAGGAGAAAGTCGTTTACTCGATTTCATATCAAATTGTATGCACACGAGTCGAGTGAGTCACTTTCAGCTCAATGCGGAAAAAATGAGTGGTGTTATATATGCTTGTTAGAAAATGGCAAACAGTAGAGTTTGTCACTAAAATCTCCGTAATTATGAGGCATTTCGAACTACTTGCTTACAGGTGCTCCTCGAATTCGGAGCAGATATCCATGCAAAAGACAGCGTTGGCAAAACAGCCCTTCACCACGCCGCTGAAACATCTGAGGGGATGATTTCTGACCACAAAAAAATGGGAGCCACCTTCCGACGCCTCGTCGCCGCGGGTATTTCCGTCAACGCGATGGACAACGATGGGAAGATTGCCCTCTACTACGCCATCCAGACCGGATCCCCCGAAGCGTGCACAATCCTCCGAGAACTTGGAGCCGAAATGATCGACGGGGTCTCGATGTTGGTCATGGGTCGCAAATTCCCCAGCCTGATTCGACCCTTTCTAGACAAATGCATCTCCTCCAATATTGACACGTGTGACCCAGAGTCAAAACATTTCTACATCCAGTTCGACTACACCTGCCTCACATTTTACCCCAAAGACATCTCGGACGACAAATTACAAACGATGCAACATCGTGAAGAGACCGAGTCCATTTTACAGGAAATGGGCGTCCTCTATTCCTTGACGTGGTGCAAGGACAGCAGCATTTTGAGCCATCCGGTCTGCGAAAGCCTCCTTCGCCTCAAGTGGAAGAAGGTCAAGTGGTATTTGTACCTGGATATGTTGCTTTTCGCCGTCTTCCTCGCCTTCCTCACGGCCGTTATCTTCATGGAGTATGAATCGGACAGCTCTGCGGCCGAGTTGGCGGCAGCAAACTTGACCGAAACGACGGGTTCGGGTGGTGTTGATGGGGACGGGATATCGGAAGATGCTCGAGCCCATATTCACAATCGATCGAATTACTATTGCATGGACACGACGAGGAATATCGTCGTGTGGGTGATTCTTTGGATTTTAACGGCATGCCTGGGAATTCGGGAGATGATTCAGCTACTTCAGGCCCCGCTGCACTATGTCGTTCAGGTATGTAAAAAAGGAGGCTATGTATATTGCTGGCCATGTCTTAGTTTATTATTTAATAAGAGGAATTTATTTCGCAGGTGGAAAATTTATTGGAGCTTGTTCTCGTATTCTCCGTCGCAATGTTGAGCCTGGCAGAGTGTGGGGTTCAAAGCTTTGTAAATACTCGCGATCATTTCGCTGCCGTTTGTTTAATTGTGGGTTGGACGATTCAGGCAAGTTTTATATGCGTTTTTTATAGTTTACTTTTTATTAGTATTATGATAAAATGAGAATCGATTAGGAAACATAAATTCACGCATCGTAAACTTTTGACGTCTTCACGTGTCGTACTAAAATATATGTTGCTCATCAATGCATCAACCTACTTATTGCACGACGTATGTATTGCAAATTCACTTTCTCTCCATAAACTTCGAAACCCATTTTACTTACTATACGAATTTCCATAAAGTTCATCATCAATCGAAACCACGAGCCGACATGCACCTTCCTTCGCCCACATGCATGGATATATTTTCCAACCGTCCCAACCTATTTACCTGCATATCTATCTCTCTCCAACTAGCACTTTCTTCCCATCACGAACGAACGTATTTATCGTTTATCGATTTGGGGTGGAGTGGAGTGATTTGTTTGTGATGACAATAAATTTACGTGTTTTGTTGTTAGGTCACATTGTACGGCAAAATTCCAGTCTTTGGCGTCTACATTCGGATGTTTGCAGCAGGTAAGAAGACAAATCAATGCTGGTATTATCGAGACAAGTAGATACATATTTAGTATATTTCTTGCAGTGGCAGTCAATATTCTCAAGTGCATGTTCACTTATTTGGGGCTCCTTTTCGCCTTCAGCCTCACACTTCATTTCCTTTTCCGTTCCCAAAAAGAGTTTGACAGCGTCGGCTTCACCTTCCTCAAGGTATTTACACCAACAAACACTGACACGCCATACGTACGGTGAACCTACATACATAAATGCGAGGAGAAAGCCACTCTATTTTTTATGAGGGCAAATAATGTCACATATTTATTCAGTTCTTCCTTCCTCCCTACTTATTTACTTTTGTGTCACCAGACATTCGCCATGATGATTGGGGAGATCGAGCTGGTGCGGACGTTCATCGAGAATGACGGGACATACATCGTTCCAGTCACGAGTCACTTGATGTTCGCCTTGTTTATCATTTTTATCTCCGTTATTCTAATGTGCCTCCTCATCGCGTTGGCCGTTTCGGACATTGCCAGCATGCAGAGGGAGGGGGAACATATGCAGTTAGTGCAACAAGTCAAGGTACATCTGACCACGTCGTCGTGAGACTATGACTAATACGCTTTTTATGAACCTAAGGTCGCAAGTCAGTTGGAAGACGCACTACAACACAGAGCCCTTTTATACCCCCAGTTCGGGATGAGGGAAATAAAATCCCTTCATCAGAGGAAGGGGGTGATTTTTCCTAATTTGAAAGATCACGGGAAACTTGGGAAGGACGCTTTGGAAATCGTGATCACACAGCACACTCGAAAAATGGATGCTTCAAATACAAATGTCATATCGCAGCAAATACATCCCTCATCCTCAGAGGAAAATGAAACAATTAACAAATTAATTAACCAAAATACCCGCAGCACGACGGAGTTGACGGATGATTTATTGCAAAAGCTCAAAACACGGATGGATTTGTAAGTCTTTACCACAACTCAATTAAACAGATATGATTTTACGTAAGGCGATATTTTCCAGATACACGTTGGAAGTAGAGCGAAGAAATGACAAATTAGTCCAGGATGTCCGTATCCATAACGAGCATGGAAATAGTGTCCTAGCCAATGAGATTCTTGTCCTCAAGAGTCAACTGGACCACGTGACGGCCTCCCTTCGAGAGATAGGTTCCCTCGTCAAGAACATTGCGGAACGATCGTCCCCGGAAGGATCGGCCTCACCGGTGGAGGAAGAATCACGACGAGACGGTCGTCACCACCACCACAAACCCTCCACCACCGGCACCAGTCCCACCAGCCCGGACGTTGACGTCGAGGGGACTGACGCGACGTCTTCAGAGTCCACGCCGGAACGATCAACCACCTCCAACACCCATGCTCAGCAGCAGAACCCCACCAACAATCCCTAGCGACACGAATAAAATTATCTATTTAGAAATATATCAAAAACACAAAAAGTTGCAAAGCATAGTGCAAAATTGTTTGCATAATTCCGTGCAAAATCATCTCCTCAAGTATGAATGTATGGTTTAATAAGGAGGTGAAATATGTATATTTATCTGCTGTGCAGTCGTAATACTAATATATTTTTCAGTTTTACATGGCATTTTAGGCTATAATCTCATGATTCATCTCATCATCATGATTTAAAAAACAAAATCTTTTGTCAAAAAATTATATGTCTTAAAGGTTTATGAAGAAAATAATAAAATAAACTCAGTATAATTTCGTTCACATCTCGAACTTGAGAAAATTCTTGGAAAGTATTTGGCATAAAATTCTGTCAGACTTTTAGCAGAACGTGAAGAACGGAGAAAGTCTTGCGAATTTCTGTGCGTGGTGAAAGTGCCCCTAGAATTTGCACATCTTACGTGAAGCCAAGCGGGAGCGGATGCCTCCTCAAAACCACAGAATCCTCTTCTCACACAAAAAAGTAGGTCATAATCCCAATTCTGTGCGAAATAGAGGTCATGTTCGACCACCGAGAGTGCAAAATTATCGAGGCTAACATACCCCACCCACCAACATGTAACTAGTGAACTGTTCTTCTGCCCAAGTCTGAGTTGAGGAGGAGGTCTGACCAAGTCGTCGTCGTCGTCACGAAGAAGAAGAATCTCAAAACCCTTTCACCAATTGATCTCCTTTTTTGTGGCGATGAACATTGTGACCTCAAATGGGAAACTTACAGCAGTTTCTGTCTCTGCAGCCACCACGTCGACAGTGGCACACAAGGGGGGAGCAAGTATCACCATGGTTGGCGGAGGTACTTCGTCAGCTGCTACTATCAAAATTTCCAACGCTACTGCGACCACATCAGCATCGTCATCATCAACATCAGCGGGGGGAGGATTACTGTCGCCATCACCAAATATGAGTGTCACGTCGACCGGAAAACGTGTCGCAGGTTCGAGTAGAGGAAGTTCTAATGCGAGCAAAGATCGGGCCACGAATAAGGAAAAAGAGGCAGCAGCAAGGAGCAAAGAAAGCAAGGAAATTTCATTGAAACCAGGTGGGTGTGGAGGGTTAATGATTGTTCAAGTGTTTTTATATTAAGTGAGATGTGTTTGTTCAATACTTTTTTCATTTAATTGTAACAGATTTGAGAAATATCATGCAAGCTTTTGGAGATGGGACGAGTCCTTCGGAAGATTCTGTACAGTTGATGGAACTTATTTTACGTCAGGAAATGACGGCATTTATATTTCTTTGTGATACTGCGGCGTACTGGGGTGGATATAAAGTTTTAGGAATGCGAGAATGCATTTACACTTTAAGAAATGATAAACCCTTCTTGTCACGACTCTTCAAATATTTTAGTAAGTTCCGATACAACCAAATATCCCTGTTATAAATTATTTCTTAACATTTTTTAAATTATTGTTTTCTTAATCAGTTATTAAAGATCAACAACAACAAAAAACAATATGCGTAAACTACCACGGTCATACGAAAGTAGTCAGCACACAGGGCAACTATTTGGGAGAAATTCGTGAAATACTGGATGACTTGGATGGATCTGGAGAATTGGAAAAATTGTTGGATCAAGATAATAGTTACGATAGCAGTGGCGGAAAGTTGGATAAGGCTCATCAAGCAGAGAGCAACACTCATAGACTGATTAGTCCTAAATATATTAATTATGTGAAAGCCCGTTCCATTTCTTTTGCGAGAAAGTTACCTCAACTCCAAGTATGAGGCTAATTTAATTGACTAATTAGCTAGGTATTGGTATTGATTGGCTAACTAACTCTTTTTCGTTTGGTGTGTTTTAGGAATGGGTTTCACAGTACCTTCATTCAGAGTACAAGTTAAGCCAAAATTTTATGGACATTTTGGCGTTTTTGATTTACGATTTTGTGGCCCAAATTGTGGATCTCTCATTTATAATCAAACGCGAAAGAACCAACGGATCTAACCCTTTACTCAAATTATACGACCCAAGAGGAAGTAATCCGGATACATGCATGTCTGCCACTCTATTTCTGGTAATAAATAGCTAACTAGAGAAATAAATACTAAAAAATTGTGCGCCACCATCATATAAATTCTAATCCTAATGCGTTTTTTCCTCAGAGGAAAGACGAAGAGTGTAACAATGTCTCAGAAATGTTGGTGCTGGCCAGTGAATTGGAGGCCAAACGGCTTAAAAAGGTTTTTACTTTTGCATTATCACAATATGCGAACAAATATTACCATAATTTTTATTCATATGCACAGGTTTCGACATCCAACAGAGAAGTAGTCTCGACCAAAAGTGTTCATTGTTTATCACCGAGTGAAATTAAAGAAGCATACCTTCGAATGCAGAACAGTCAAGCTCCATCAATCTCTTTTCGGACCCGTGCCGAAAAAATTAAACATTTTAGCTTTCAGTATTAGCATCGATTTGTTCGTAGTTGTATGTAACGTAGTCGACCTACCGTATCTTCTTTAGTAATATTAGTTGTAGAAACTCTTTATAAAGAGATGATTATGATGATGTGAAATAATATACAAACAAAAAAAACTACCAACAACGAATGTACAACAAATCAATGCAATTTTAAGCTAACATAAGATTTTGTGTATGTACTCGTAAAATATTTCGTATTTACCAACCATAGTATTTCAAACTTTCGACGGAGAAGAAAGATTACGAAGAAATATCTTAATACTCGAATTGCATTTATAGTTTACATTGTACAAAATTCTATTTTGTTCTCGTTTTGCTATGACCGACTATACGCATACATATTTACATATTATATATTGATTATTATTATTTAGCTGGGCTATGTAGAGAGATTTTAATTAATTAATTAATTATAGAATCAAATAGAATACAAAATAGTATGTATTGCCGCTGTTATTCCAATGTTATGTGACTTATCCACATAAAATGTTAAGTTATTATCTTTACTTCTTGTTACGTTACGCAAAAAAAGTACACAGTAAAGGTAAATAAATAGTTGACAAGAGTATTTGATTTTTGTTTAATTTAATGAGTGATTGTTTATTCATGATTGATTAAGACTTGTTCAAGTGTTACATTTTTCATTAAATATTTGCGATTGCGTGCAGGCATGAGCAAATCGGATTATTTTGGATTTGTAAGATTAAAACTGGTCGCAAATTAGGAGCAATATTATTATTGTAAAATATCCGAAAGAATTCTGACGTTATTATTGTTTTGTTCATCAACACAATTAGCAAAACCATACTTCAGCCCCACCTCCTCCTTAACAGATCGACCATGCATAATTATGATCCAGTATTAAAAGGCTTCTTGAGTTGAATAGGCGCGTGGTGTATAAGACTAGGAGAAAATACTCGAATCGACTTGATTAAAAATACTATTTTGTTGTCTTCTCATCAGTAAAAGGGTGAGTGTGTGGTGGGTAAAAGCTGCATACAAAGTTATTAATACAATTCGTAAAGTGTCGAGTCGAATTTGGAAATAGATGAAAATTTATGGAATGTTTTGATATATAGACACGAATATTTTGGTATTTGGTAATTCTTTGGCTGCGTGAGAAAAATTAGTAATACTGCTTCCTCTGTTTTTTTTTGGATATTGACTACAGAATAAATATTATACAGACTCAGGTATATTTTTTTTACATAAATAATCATCCACAATCATCTCTCTAATCTGCCTATCTTGGTGGAATCTCTCTATAACTAGACGTCAATAAATTCTGTCTCACTAAGTCGCTTTTTTTCTTCGAGTTCCTTATCTTCGAAAGAATCCTGTTTTACGATGGGCTTCAATGATTCTCGGATTTTTCTGGGGTCCAGATAATTTGCTCCCAAGCTTTGCATTCCTTTCGCTAACTTTCCTAATGGAGCCAGAACCATTTCGCCTCGTTTTTGAGGTTGCTGGCTAGATTGAAAGGGATTATCTCGGAGAGCATTATCACTGTGGGATCCTTTCAAACCGACAGAATCAAAGATGTTTTGATTGGAGGAGGATCTCTGGTCTGTTTTAGATGTCCCGAAAATGTTTGGTAGTTTGAAACCGGTAGTATTTTGTGCGTTAATTCGTGGCATCCCAAACCCTCCAAATCCTCCAACTTTATTTACATCTTCAGATGAGCGACTAATTCGACGCATTGCTACTTTAAGAGATGATGATTGTTGTGGAATAGAAAAAATAGTATCGTCTTTTGTCGAAGGTGTAACTATTCCTGCAGACGACAATTCTTCCGTAATGGTTATTTCTGGCGTTCGAGATCTTTGTGGTGATGTGGTATGCATGCCTGACATTGTAACGCCAAGACTGCACACGGGAAGTGAGTTTCTGTGACGTTGGAGAGAGTTCATGGTTGAGAGTCCGAGTTTTGGACCTGCATGTCGAGATGGGCTGACTTCCGTTGAACTTGAATCTTGAGATAATGGTAGAGGTTGAAGTTCTGATTTGTTTCCACTCCTCCCAGCTTCCGTCATAACAAGAAGAGGACTCGATATCATGTCGGGTATCGTCTGAGAAATGTTGTTTCGACGTCCGGGGGACAAAATTCCACAACTAGGTAAGACTAGATCGTTTTCCAATGGAAATAATGATTGGATGTGAAGTGGATCTGGAGTCATTGCGTTCAAATCTATCAAATCCTGAAATTCATTGTCGTTCTTCATTCCTTTACCAAGATGTAAAGTTGGATCCTGATTCATTTGAGTAGATGCTTGAGTTCCTAATTTGGGTTCCTGTAACAAAGTTATTAAAATTTAACCCAGATCAGATAAACTCTGCGTACCTATAAATCTAAGTTAACATGATGTAAATAAACCCACCGATATCGCCTGTGCAGTTCCATCAACTTGTTCACCACTGTTCAATTCTCCATTCGGTAAAGTGCCAGATCCTCTTCGAAAATATTTTAATCGGTCAAATGAAGCAGCAGAGATTTCTGAAAAAGCAGCGGTTCTTTAGAGTGAAAAATATTTGGTCTTGAAATATATGTATGTGAATTATAAATACGACTATACTTTTTGTAATGCTCGAATCTGCAGGTTGAGCCGTTGAGAGGTATTTGTTCATAAAATTACTCGCCATTCCCGGAATCCGACCTTTATTGCTGGAATCTTTTTGAAATAATGGAGTAGTCGTGATATCAAAGTTATTGCCCAGAGAAGCAGAGGCGACTTTCACAGCATCAGACACCATGCGTAGTGCTTCTGTAAGTCAATAATGATTCAATTTGAAATGACTTATTAGGTCATTTACTTATTTTATTTTTTGTATTTAATATTATTATGTCATGCTCACCATGCATTTCTTCCGGCTGCTGAATAGGAACTGCTACATTATTGAAAAACCGTATATTTGAAGATCTAAACTCGTGATACTGGGATTGGCCATCTTGACAATAATTTATCTTCATATTCGGGACCATCGTTTGACTAGAATTGTTACTGGAAAAAATACTCCAAACTGTGGTTGTATGGGTTAATGCTTCAAAGCTTAATTCAATCGAGGCTATAGAGGTAAGTGGAGTCCTTTGAGTTTCTGTCATCGTGTCCAGAGAACAATCATACCTTTAAAGCATATAAATCAACAGTTAACAGTGGTAAGTTTTTAATAAATAAAATAGATAAATGTGTACAAAATCATTAATATTTAAATTAACTTACTCGGTTACGTAATAATTACGCTCGGTCAAGACGAAAATCGAATCCACATCGAGACTGTCCAGCTCATTGAGTCTAATTAGAAAAAAATGTAAAACTGTTTTCGCCAAAATACAAAAAAAAGTTCTTCTAGCACTCACTTTCCATTTACTAGACCCCATGCTCCCAAAATAACCTCATCTGATGGAATCATGCACCGCTTTACATCCTCGACTATGGATTTTATTTGTTCGGTTCCATTCTCTTTTTCAAAAGGTTGTTGTTTCTCGTCTTCGTCAAAATCAGCCTCAGAAACTGATTTTCTGATACCTGCAATAATTTTATTCTTACATTTGTTCCTCCTTTCTTTCATTTGGTGGTTGTTACTGCTTGATAATCTCACCCAACATTAAATCAATAGCGGCTTGACGACTCGTATCTCGAAATCGGTTCAAATAATACCTAATCAAACAGACAATACACTAATATGACAAAGTCATGCTTTACTACAGACGAAATTACTCATACCGATTCGCTGAATTCATCCCGTCTTTCATTACACCAGCAAATTTTCTTTCTCCAGTTCTTGTGAAATCACCCTAAAATAAAAATACACATTTATACATGTAAATTCATTACTGGAGTGAGTCAATTGTTCAGAGTAGAATTAAAGGTTGATTCGCTTACCTTGAGAGCATTCGTGCCTGCATATTGCTTGCTGAGAGTATCCTGCAAAAATTAGACGACAACACAAGTTTATTTGAAGTTGGATATGGCAAATAGAATTGCTATCAGTTAATTAATTGTAACTTTGTAATTTAACTCACCCCATTGTTGGCCCATAGGGTTTGCAAAATCATTCTAACGTTGGAAGGAAGGCCAATTTCTGGAGCGATGAGACCAACTTTACTTAATTCAAAGGTGAGCATCTCCTTGGCTAAATGGGTCTGAATATAACGATGATTAATATTTATTTATGATTGCAAACACTGAAATTTGTCAATGATTACAATTTCAGCCCACCTGTACCACATTAGTGCGATCCAAACAATCGACACAATTAACACGAAATATCCCTTCCTGTTGTAACACCATTCCATACGGATCAGTCCAACAGTATCCCATTTTACGTAGCGTATCACATAGTCTGTTTGTTAAGATGGAGACGTTATCGAATTTCATTCCTCGGCTGTAATTATAATAATTAAGCTTGATTAAGGACTTAATTTATATTTTATAGTGACAAAAGTATATTTTGTGCCGGCCATATATTTATTCAAAGTAAAGTAAGGATAATGGTTCTCACCACTGAACATGAAAGTCAAAGGAAACATAAGTTATCTTGGAAGAATTTAGCTGCAACACGTTTTTTATATACGCATCTCCCAGAACTTTCTCCTTGCCCCCCTTCTCAACCAAATTAATGATCAGAACGCGGTCGTAAATGCCTAACTCTTCTTCAAAGTGTTTAGTAAAGGCGTCGTATGTCTCGGCGTCTTCTATAAAACCAAAAACAACAAGTTTGGAATAATATTAATAAGAAATGGAATATATAATAAAAATTAAACTACTGAAGATTACTAAAAACAAATTTTAGATAACCATTTTATATACCTCGCTCAATTTTTGGTGGAGGTCGATACCGATAACTATTGGATTGACTCCAAAAGACTGGAATTGAACCTCGAACTTGCACAAATGAAAACATGTGATTTTTATAAACGACGATTTGTTCCGACTCTACATAATTTGCCACTTTTCCATTATCATCAACGCCACGTCGTAAATATCGAGTTCCAGCTTGATATCTACTGCGTCTTGATATCAGCCACACACCAATAGGAGCAGAGATCTGTACATAGGCATGTATAACATAATTAATTGTTGCATGTCATGTACGAAAGTTGGATAAATTGCTTACCGTAGTCGCTTCATCCAGACCCATGGCATCAATTGTGTGCTCAATAATACACGGTTCATATTGAATAAATCCTTGAATCACAGGTACAATCCATCTATTTAATTTGTCGTTCTGCAATTTAAAGAGATTGTTGAACTTCATCATGTATGCACTCGATCATCCAATTGGACACAAAAATAATTAAATAACATCTAAGATGCTTACTTGTGCGTTAATTAAGGATTTAACCATGTACCAATTCCAGAAAAACCTTTTGTCTGCCATTTCCCATAAGGGTAGTTTTGGAGTTATTGTAGCCGATGCAACTTCTTTATCTTTTTTCTCGGTGGCAACTGGAAGAAACTTCTGCCGTCTTTGAAGACTATTTGTTATATCTTGTTCAGGAGAATAGTAAAATGACTCTGCTTCCGTAAACATTTTATGAAACTCTTCCAACATGCGGCGGTCTACTTTACTGTAATTTAAAATATGAATAAGTAAAACAAATCTACGTCTTTCAAGATAACTCAGTAAATTGCTGCAAACCTGTCAACTTTTTTAGAAACTAAACCGCGTATTGGAGGAACCTTAGCTCGGATTAGGGGTCGCCCTGATAATAACGAAGAAGCTGCAGAAATATCGCTACTCCCAGGTTGTGCTTGACGGGTCGGACTGTTAGGCGCATTCGTGATTGTAGCAATGTTGTCATTTTTCCAGGAACAATTTTCAATCGCAATTTCTAAATCTCCTTCTAATGGTATGCTCAATACAGAAGTTATTCGAAATATTGGGAGATTATTCATGTTTCCGACTAAAACCTGTTGCCGAATGAAGACCAATCTTACGTCAGATGCTGTAAAATAAAAAAGTGTATTGGGTATGATTTAATTTTTTAAAACAAATCACTAAACATTTCTGAATCTAGCTTACTGAAACTGACGCGAAGTTTCCCAATGTACCCATAAACGGTTCCGAGGACTTCTGCATCCCCCAAACATTCCACGGACGTGCCTAAAAAAATTCCAATGATATATTTTTAAAACATTGCCACCTGAGAAGAACTTTTCATGCAGGTTTTTGTCGTACCTTTCTTCGCGTCACACCTCCCATTGCTACGATCAATCCATAAGGAATCTTCTCCATCGAGTAAAATAAAGTGACTGTCTGTCGCGAATAATTCCATGTTATTGCCAAGATTATGATTATGTGCATATAATCAGGAGTTGAGATCTGTGTTTTATTTTATCAACATGTAACCCATACTTCTTCGTTTTTGATGCCTGTAATTAAATTAAACAAACCGCAAGTTAGTTAGGGAAACAGTTATTTTGAATTTCTTCCAACTTCCAACTTCTTCTTCTAATAACTTGTATTCGTCAAACTTTACAAGTAAAAACACGCCCATCTACAATCTCTCCATGAGAAATGTAAATGTGTATGAGTTTGGCTTAACTAGGAAGATTCGCATACTTAATAAATTATTCATTCCACATTGCAAATCTAGAAACAACGTTATGTCCCTGCCACCAAACCCGGTTAACTAGTACTAGTTAAAACTCCAATCATCATCCTGACTCACATATTCACATTACAAACAACCCATCACAATTAAAACTACATCTCATTACGTATTACAAATTATTACATAGCGCCACTGAACTGATTTCCCACTCGACTCTTCAGCTCAAGCTGTATATCAGAATAACATCTCTTTGTTCATGTTCTAATTTGGATGATAAACACGCTAAAAATGTGGTTAGATATTGTGGCCACATTTTGAAATGACTTTACAAAAATTGTTAACAAATTAGAAATTAGAAGCGACGCTATTTTAAAACGGACAATCTTTCCCCAGTTTTTATTCCTTATTATTAGCCTTCACCCACCCCAAAAGTATTTCTCAGCCTTTACTCCTAATTTTAATTACCTGATTCATAACGTAATTAAAATTACAAACCTTTATTTTGACATCATCACAGTGCACTAACCTCGATCAAAATTTAAAACTGCTTTTCACCACCTTCTCCTGACAACTCATGCTGATCGAGTTATCGAATTAAGTAGAAAAGAGAAAAATAACTAACTAGTAATTACTGGCCGATAAAAAATTAAAATATTCAATAAATATAAAACATGTGATGAATGATGACAAACTCACCACCACCACATCAACTTGCACAATGTACGTAGTAGCAGTTGGTGCTTTGTGCTTAAGAATTTTTAATTTTTAATTTTGTTCGAATCTAAAACTTAGCAGGATTTTTGGGTTTCCTCGAATCTAAAATAAATTGGGGAATAAATTGTATCATGTCATAAATAATTGGCGTAAACTTGAATAAATTGGCATAATTGGCACCAACTTCCGAAGTCAAAAGCACCAACTCCAGTCGACTTCCTCGCGCTGCTGGTTCCAAAATATATGCATTCAAAAAGTTCGTTCAAGTGTATAAATTTAGTAAAAACTTCAACTTTAATTACTAAATTTAGGTTTAATTTATAATAAAAATGTAATAACATTTTGAGCAATTGTAGAATGTTTTGCATGTTTTGCTACAACTCTTTAAATTCACGGTAGGAAATTGTCCTATAAGGTAAGGAATTTTGTTGGTTGGGTTGAATTGAATTTGATTAATAATTATGTTGATATTTGACAAAGTTTTTCATACTTTGGGCGCAGGAGTTAGGATTTCTACCAAATGTCGTAAATACTTCCCTCGCGACAGAGATGCGTCGAAGCTACACGCTGCGATTTCTATTTCTAACTGCGACGTGTGCCGTAATCATAGTTGGTTTACATTTTTACATGTACATCTACAATAAGCGGAGCAGTCAGGACAATAGTGGTCAAATTATCGTGGACAAACATCAGCCTAGCAGTTTCAGATTGTTCGAGGAACGCTTTAGCAAAACGGACCAAGTATCATCCCAAGAAGGGCAGGAGGCGGAGTGGAAACATGATCCACGAGGCAACTTGAAGCACAAGATTGTGCACCTGGACCTCAAAGGGATGCCTCTCACGGTCAAAGCGTTTGAGAGTCTGTTCCCATTGCTGGCAAAGACTGGAGCTACCGGGGTTCTCATGGAGTACGAAGATATGTTCCCGTATGAAGGAAAACTCGAGTTAATTTCAAATAAGGAAGCCTACAGCCGAGATGATATTACAAGAATTTTAGAACTGGCAGAGTCAAGCAATTTGAAGGTACGTCACAGTAAATATGAAATAATAAAAGTATCTCAAACAACTTTGTTTGACTGCTTAGCTAATACTTACTAATTTTATTTCTGTGCATATATTTACAGGTAATTCCTTTGATTCAAACATTTGGCCATTTGGAGTTTGTGCTCAAATTGTCGGAATTTGAAAAATTGCGTGAAGTTCCCAAGTACATGCAAGTAATTTGTCCAACGAATAACGACTCCGTCATTGTACTCAAGGACATGGTAGATCAAGTTATGGCCCTACATCCAAAAATTGAATATTTTCACATCGGATCGGATGAAGTCTATCACATTGGTCAGTGTCCTTTGTGCACGGGGCTAATGAACAAAATTGGGATTGACGAATCACAATTGTTTCTGCGACATGTGTCATTCATTGCGGAGTACGTCAAGAATAAATACAAAGTTCAACCTTTAATGTGGGATGATGAATTTCGAAAGCTGGATGAAGTTTCTATCCAAAAGTCTGGAATAGGAAACTTGGTCGAAATTGTTGTGTGGAACTATAATCCAGGTAAAATGAATTTTAAGATTTACTTGGTTAACTAGTGCTGTAATTTTCTAAAATATCTATGTTTTTTATATAGATATTGAAAACCATTTACCTCGGACAATGTGGGAAAAATATTCTCGTATCTTTAAATCCGTTTGGGTTGGTAGTGCTTTCAAGGGTGCCAATAAGCCAAACTCTGCCGTCGTGAACGAAACCTTATATCTCGGAAACCACTACGCATGGCTTAGAACGATGCAAGACTTTGAAAAACTGTTGACATTTAAGGGCATAATTCTAACCGGTTGGCAGAGATATGATCACTTTTCCGGTTTTTGCGAACTATTACCCAGTGCAATCCCTTCATTGGCAGCATGTATGACACTCTTAACTGCGCCTACTATCCAGCCGATGAGCAAAATCCTTATGGAGACTTCATTGAAATTGCATTGTGCAAATTTTTTAAATATTTGCAAATTTCCTGGGTCCATACTCCACCAAGAAATTATCCAACTTGAATTTTATAAGGTAACCATTTGTATATAAACATCTTGCTTTTGTGTTTTTATTGTTTATTCAAAACATAATTTTATTATTTTCAATATGCAGGAAAGCTTTAAGAAGCTGAAAGAAAAACACGTGTTTTTGGGATGGGCAGAGGAATCAAATTTGCGACACCGTTTTTCAAGTCCTTCTCACATCGAACTTATCTTCCAAGAAATCAATTCCATAAAAGTGGACCTTGACCGATCTCGAGTGACTCTAGTTCAGGCCTTGCAGGAATTGTATCCCCAGTGGTCCGTTGATGAGTGGATGTCATCCAGATTTGAGCCATTCTTTAATAAAGTCCAACATGTTCACACTGGTCTGACAAACATACTGGAGATGAATACATTCCCCCGCAGGCCGCTGGAAAACCAAGTACAAGACCTTTAGCAGCATATATACATCCTACCGTTTTATTCATATATAGGTAATTTTGATAGCTAAGTATTTTTTAATAAACATTTTGTAGAAAGAGTCAGCTTATTTATATCATGAGAAAAATGTTATGCATAATATTATTAGACATTCCTTGTGTACAACCTTCTGTTTCACTCGCTCACAGAGTATCCAATTATTTAGGAATGTGAATATAAGTTTATCTAACATTTTTTGCTAATTAAAATCTTGAGTCGTCGTATGAAATATTTCTCTTAAGAAAAATAAATTTTTCCAATTCTGAAGTCATGAACCGAATTTATTTGATTATTTCAAACCTTGATTTTGCAGTCAGTATGTTTATTTAGTAACTGTTTAATAATCAGGATGAAACCCCGAACCCCAACCCTGCAACTAATTCTGAACAATGGATTTCCTTCAACGAACCTAAATGATGCATGCCAAATTAGAGGCAGGACTATTAAGGAATCGATTGTAGAAACTAATGGGACTTGTTCCGACGACAAATAACTTAAATGATGCATACCGGGCAATAAAGTGATAACACTCGTCAAATGTATACATACGTTTCTGTATTTGCTAATTTTAATTGTATGAAATATATACAAAGTTTTAAGTTTCTTAAATGAATCTTCACAATTCTGCATCAACATATTATTAGACTAAAGTTGCATAAAAAATACTTAGTTTGACTAATGACAAGTTTTTTCAAAATAAATAAATACAAATAAGTTTTAAAAAAATAAAGCGTTAAAAAATAACTGAATTCCTCTCAATAACAACATTAAGTCTATTTTACATGCACCAATCATTTCTTTTTCTTTTCACTATGTATCACTTTTAATGCATATTTCGCCGCCGCATTTTTGGCACTCTTCTTTGTCGCTCCACACCCAAGGAATTTTCTGCGCCGAGAGATGACCAGCTCAACAATAAATTGTGGTGTGGTAGCGCCAATAGCATCTTCTGACACAACACTGGAACCAAACAGATCAACTTGTAGCGATTAACTGATAAAATGATAGAATAAAAATACATTATATGTTAATTTTACTTAAACTCTATTCCTCTAGTGGTAGGAAATTCCTCATGAAGTTGCCTAATGGGCTGGCGAGGAATCTTGGCAGAGAATATATCTGCAAACGGATACGATTTATATTTAAAAAAACGCGTTTACGTTTGTACGTGTGTAATGTTCAGTAAAGTTGTTTATGTGGTGTAAACTATTACCAATCTCATTTTTCATGAGCCGATAGAAAACTGTCCATACGGTGTCTAGGCTCATTCCAGAGTCTATAAATACGGCACCGGCCAATGACTCAAAGATGTCCCCAAGTGCCTTTGGCACGTCAATGTCTTCCGCCATGACGCAATCATTGTCCGTCAGTAGTTCGAACTGCATCACAAAATAATAACGATATATTATAATTACGCATATCTCAATGCACTCCGCTTCCGCGAGTTTATTCTATTCGTTGCTGGAGTTGATTTTTATCATGACTTACGGAATCTGAGACCTCGTGATTATTCCGTTCTTGATACTTAACAAATTTATCAATACTTTCTTGCAGTCTAGGAGAGAATTGGAGCAGCAACTTGTGAAATCCATAACGCACTGCTTGAGACCCAAACGTAACATTGTTTACTAGGGCCGATCGCAGATCAGTCAACGACCCCGCAGTTACTTTCTTTTGGGTATTGTATATATGATGGGTCACGAGGAAATCTGAACAAAAAATATTCAACTTATACACATATACATACATTACTTTGATTAAAATAAGTAGGCTTAAAAAGCAAGATAGCTCTGTACCTAACACAGCATCTCCCAAGAATTCCAAACGCTGATATGCATTTGTTGAGCCATTATGCGTGTACGAAGGATGTGTAAAAGCTTCCACAATGATCCATTTATTTTTGAACCTGCTCATAAGAATGACAGCATGATTAGTTTTTTTGTTTTGTTTTTCAAAAAAGTTTAGTTCCTGTAATGTATTCATACGTACTTGTAGTCCAAGACTTGCTCCAGGTAATCCACTGAAGGGCCATAAATCAAATTTTGAGGTTCCTTAGGATATACATTCTTTAAACGAGGTAAATCCTTAATGTTTTGGTACATTATCTGATTAACAGGCTTTTCGTTGGTTGGAGCTCGAAGGCCTATGTAATTCATCAGGTTCAAAGCCCCAGAGATCCCACCGGACAAGTAATACGCGCCAATAAGAGCTTCAACGCAATCTGCGATACTCTTGTCTCCAAGTCGTGAGTGGGTGTACGAAGTGTGGGTGGGTCCCAGCTCTTGGATCTCTCTTTTGCAGTTCTCTGCCCGATCTTTCACAATTTCACTTAATTCCTCTTCCGGAATGGTGGAAATGGACGAATGGTCATCCATCACTTTGCTAGTATTGCGGTTGGCAAGTCGGAAGACGTTGTAGTTTACCTCGTTCTCAACTGCCATTTTTGTTAGCTTATAAGGAATAGATTTGCCAGGCGGAAGCCAAGTACTTTCAGGTTCGAATAACCCACCAGCCAAGAATTCTCCAAGATTTTTCTTGCTTCCAATGGCGTAGAGATGCTTATTGCTGATGAGTTTAGTTCGGAGACCTGTCAGTTGACCCTCGTGAAACTGACAAAAATGAGTGAAGATATGGAGAGTGACTACTAGTTTGAGGACGGAGTCCCCAATCAACTCCAATTTTTCAAGATCTTGAAGATCTCGCCCATTTGCTAACGTTATTGCCTATATGTATATTAGTCAAAGTCAAAATAAACACTCGTGATGCAATATTTACGTGAACAATCACTAATTACCTCCATAATCGAAGTTAGCAGAGGTTGCTCTGGAGCGTCATTATATGCATCGAAACTTGTTAAAGGAACTTGGCTGCTTGAAATTAATTCTGCGAATATATATAGAATATTATTAGTATCACAGCAATTACAAATGATAAGAGAAAGGCAGCCTTATAATCTTATTTACTTACCTATCCCAGTTCTAGTAGAAAGGGAATCTGCTGGATGACCGGAAATCTCAGCCATTTCTTCATCGTCATCATCGCTTAGATATGGATCCTCTAAGTCAGTACGTTTTATATTTTTTGGATGAATATATTCTATCTCAACCCAATGCAATTTTCTTTTCAAAGAAAAGAGCGTCATTTCATCTCGAGGGATGGTAGATTTGTCCGAAGTTTGTTTGACTTCAACATCACGTGATTTAGTAACGTCGGGTATCATGTTCCCAAGATTCATAGAGAATATCGCTTTCTCCTTTGTACTTTGATTCAAATTTTGGAGCTCTAGACGAAAAACATAGGGTTCATCGTATTATACGTAATTATTGATATCAAGTATGGGCTTAACGTTTTCATACCTTCCTCGTGTCGTTGCTTGTTGAAGAACGTCAAATCGTCGTCGCGCATTTGAAGAAAATTCTTCACCGAGGATTGAATGTCGTGAGCAAGGAGGAGTCTAAAGACGCGATGCATGCAAGAGGGAAGCAGCTTTGATTGGACGAATAAGGTCGCAGGCAAAGGATGAGTTCTCATCAATTCCGCAATGAGAAATACAATAGATGAAGAATGTTTCCCATCTCGCCTTTCTTCCGCAGTCATCTGAATGAAAACAAAATATTAACTATTCTTATCTCAAATACACTAATTGTTTGTGGTGTGTTCAGCTTATGCATATAATACGTACCTTCCAAGAATCGTATTTAGCTACTAAGTAATTCAATTGTTTGGAAATTGGCTTCGCTTTTAACAATGGGTCATCTTTGTTAACGATGACAATCCCATGTTTTTCTTTGTAATATGTTACAAAACTATCAAACTTTGGAGAGTCGAATGAAGACTTTGAACTACGGGAAGGATCCAAAGCCAGAATGCAATACTTCTATAAAATGTAAAATTAAACATTACTGTTCCGACCTCATACACACACATATTTATTTATTAAATAGTAATACCTGCCGCTCATGATGACTTGGAGAATAACTGGGAATGACTAATGCATTACTAAAGTTTTCTGGTGCAAATAATTTTTCCCTGCGGTCAGCCATAGATATTTCTTCCTTATAGTTGACACTTTGCCCATTTTGCATACTAGTAATAATACGTAACGCCAATTCCATATTGCCTCGTTCTGCAAGAATAACGATTCATTCATTCTAAAATGAAGAATAAAAACAAATAATTGAATATAAAATAACGAACCGTTTCTTTGAAGAGGAGCAATAAAGTACGGATTCTCAACAGCATCAGAAAAAACCAGATTTGTAAAATGCAATAATTCTGGATCATTACAGAACAATAAGTTCTGAAATATTTTAATATTCTCCAGCTTATCGCCTGAAATGTTCGTAGCAATTCCGTCCTCATAAATTTCAACTTTCTCAAGATGCACGCGGAAGTTCCCATCTCTAGAAAATAAGAGAAAGTCTGGTACCTGTTGTGGAGAATATTTAATATTAGTGGAGAAAAATTATTAGCTATTCAGAATAGCAACTCTTATAAGCTGTACTCTTACTTTACTCAAATCCGCGGCCGTGATAATTCCAAAGGAGAAATTATGATTATCAAAATCATAGAGCGATTTAGTGTCTTTATCCGTAGTGAAATGTTCTTCCACTTTGATTTCAATTAGGTATACACGAAGATCATTTGTTTCCGACTTTAGAAATTCACGAGGAATCTAAAAATACGAGACAAATAATCATTCCAGAATGCAATAAATATTGACCGATTCACAGTAAACATCATACTAGTGGTCATAAAGAATTTCACTTTACCATTTTATTGTACCACTTGGTACTATTTTTCGACCCAATTTTCTTTCCTTCTTTGGGCACCTCCAACGTGTCCTCCAAGTTGTCAATAAAGTCGCTCAAATGTGTGGGAACAAATCGCGGAATTGGGAGTAACGTGTCCGGATGCAGTGCTCCAGCATAATAGAGCTTTTTGCAAACTTCTAAAAATGCTGCTTTTTTCGCAACCGACTTATTAGAGTACCAATCACTCTGCACAAAACAATCGTGATTATGTTTTTTGTTTCAAGAAATTTATGCAAATTGAGTAAATATTTGTAGTCACCTCTGCAAACTTAACACACGAGCTGGGAGGAAGTAGAACCTTAACTTTGAACTCCCCTTTATCATTCCCAATCCATTTCGCATATGGAGTCAACGTTGACAGTTTGTCGGTACACAGGGCTTCACAATATCTGATTACAAATGAAAATCCAAAGACAAGTTTTACTTGATGCATAATTTCATTATTTCAATAATTTTTAAGATTGATTATTAGTAAAATACCTGTACACTATTTGAGTTGATGAACCTGCAGTAATCATCTGAGGTCCATTGGAAGGGACGAATGGTGGAATAATCTTATTTAAATCTGAACTATCTTCAGTGTCATAATATCTCTCTGAGAGCTCCGCCTGGTGTATTAGGGCTTCGCTTAACGAATCACTGAACCTGGCGTACTGTGCCAACTTGTTCACTTCTTCCTTTGCTGAACCTGTTGGCAGCAGGGTGAAGAAGTTGGCCCCCCGTTGTCTAGCTGAAATTTTGAGATAAATAAAGCAAGGCGATCATGTAATGAACGATCGATCGTGTGATATTTAATTTATGAGTGATAAAATGCTAGCTCAGAAATGCTTTAAGTCAAGAACGGAAATGCATTACTAAAAGAAACTAGTGAGTGATATACAGAGAACGTGGATGATTTAAGATACAAGGGAAAATTATTGGAATTTTCAACTCGTCGTTTCCTGACCGTTCGTCACTTTCAATTTATTTGAGTTATATTATTGAAAATTTCGTCATGTTGAAACAAAATGGGAGCTTACCACGGCCCATTGATTGAACATACGACGGATAGGTCAGGATTGGGTCATAGCGGCAAATGAAGTTGCAGCTTGGCACGTCCAATCCCTCCTCTAACACCTTAGTCGCCGCTAGAATATTGATCCGTTTTTGATGAAAACTGAAAGTTGATCATTGACATGTATCAGTATCTTATCTCATCTCATCAATTATTATCATATGGTTGCCTATTAATGTAGTAAGAACAATGCCAATAATAATAAAATTTCACTTTTCCAAGACGTCTGTCTGTTTTCTTAAGGCCACTGTCTGCGTGATTCCAGTATTATTTCCGGAAGTTCCCAGAGCAAAAGAACAACTGAGGAAGCCATATTCCGCAGGGCAGTATTTGCTAAGATCCTAAAACAACATGCCATATTTTTGGTAAAAGACAACGATAAAAATAAATACATCAGTATTTTGTCTCTGCATGAAATCTGTACCTGTAAAAAGTAACACAGCATTTGTGCTGTAATTCGCTTTTGGCAAAAGATGATTCCACAGAAGTCTTTGCTGTTTGTAATATCTGGTCTATATACAGCATAAAACATTTAGTTGATAAAATTATTACGAACTAATAGATCTACAAAACAAACTTACCTCTGGGTCTTTAACACCTCAACGAGTTTTTTCAGCTTTGGTGTAATGAAAGTTACAACGTAGTGACTTTCATTCGAATTTGAAGGAGACGCGTAAAACATGAAGTGTTTTAACTGCCGTGCAATATATTCAAACTGAGTTTCAAGCCATTGCAGGGCGAATATTTGGCTCGATATTGTATTGTTAAGAGTGTTCGGCTTTCGTTTTTCTATGTAGACTTGGTAGCGGACATACGCTATTTTGTATAGTACTGCGTTCTCGGCGCAGAACGGACCTACCCAAAAAAGTAGTAAATAGATTAATTATAATTGGAGAGTTATTGTAGACAGAGTCAACTACTCTCTGTATTACTTACCCATTTCTACAAGAACGTCCATAATATCTTTAATATGTCCCACGAATTCTTTTATCGGGCTTTCTGGCTTCCAAAAGTTGGTATACCCTTGTTCGTCCCTGTGATTTTTTAGTCTGACAGGTTTCTCAATCAGGAATTTTTCCAAGGTTGTCAATTTGTCTATTACACCCATTAAAAGGTCTGATAACCTTATTGTAATATCGATATCTGATATTTGCCACTCAGATGTAGGGGTGTAAAACAAATGGGTGATGTTAGCTTGGGTGGCACATCTATATTTGAAAATATACAACTAGTAAATACGATCACATAAATCACATAATATTAGCATTATTTATTTATCCATTACCTTGATACTGATTGGTAATCATGATATGTCACGGCCTTAGAGCAAAATCTAGTTTCTATCTCAGAGATGTTTTGCGCAATCCGATTCACTTTGGAATTTCCAACCACAATTGTTGCGGATAAGCCAATCACTCGAGGTAGCTCTTTTCCAGGTCGTTTCCCTGTTTTAAATTCATCTCTATAAACCCCCATTAGTATCGCCATGGGATGATTTTTGGTAGCGTTGTGACATTCGTCCACAACCAGAAGGGACACCTTCTCCCATCTAACATGTCCCCGCTCCACAGCTTGCCGAAGAATTTGATCCGTCATAGCGAAAACCTGAACAGAATTGCAATCTTTACTTTAGCATCTAGTCTTAAGTATATATTTGCATCAATATATAAACCAATATAAAAATATTCATACAATGTGTTCGGACAGGATTTGTTTCCATTTGCTACCATCCCAGTCTTCTGGCCTTATGTCGCCAGTGACGATTCCAACAATATCGTTCGACCCATTTCCGAGATGTTCTCTCAAGTATCGCCCTTGTTGCCGCACAAGTGGCACGGTCGATGCGATAAACATTATCTTCATATTGTCACTTCTAAATGAATAATAATAATAAATTTACTACAGTAAAAAATTGTTAAACAAACTAAATTACTTATATATCTGAACACTTACTGATTTGCTTCCTTTAGATAGTGCGAGATGGCTTGGACAGCAATAAATGTTTTCCCACATCCCGTGGGGAGACAAATTATGACATTTTTCTGCAGCGCACATTCATACAGGTAAGTCTGTAATAAATTAAATACAAAATTGACAAAACTGCTAAACACAAATGCGTAATGGACACTGAATACATCTAGTTAATTGCATATAATATATATAAAATACCTGGTACTCTCGCTCCTCATATTTACTCTTACGCTCCTCCTCAGTCGGTGGGGCCATTGCGGCCAAAGCTTTATCGACAAAAAACAAATTCAAATACTTGAACTGATAGTAATAAATATTGGTAATATATTATATAATATATATATAATTAATACATACCAGTCTCTTGCCCGTCAGTCACGTCCATTATACCGCTCATTTTAATCGAATCTGAAATATAATGTAAAAGTGAATTAAATCCTATTCATTATCTTAAATTTTACTTTCCCACAACCTCACCTGCTTCGAAATTTGTTCCTTTGAAATTTTTGGAAGTAATTCCAAAGCGTTTCCTATTACTAGTCAGAAGACGATGATCAGGAGAAGGAAGTTGAAGACTCTGTGATCCTCAGTCAGGGAGACAGAATTATGAATCAAGATATAATTTCTACAGTAAACGTTTCACCTATTATTTAAATATCGACAATGCGCAAGGCAGACTCAGATAATCACAGCTCTAGTTATCACAAATTTGGAAGAAACGTTTTCCGTGAAAAAGGCACCGGTTGGAAGAGCGGTTGTGGAATGACACGATCTCGCAAGAAGAGAATCGAGAATGAGAGATACACGTGTGGTGGAAGAAGAGAGCCGAGTTCGCTCCACGTGGTGACGCGTGCAAACCCAAGATCCAATCAGAGAGGGCCGTCAAAGATCCAATCAGAATTTGCACACAATGATGCGTCCTCTCAGCAAAATTTGCATATGCAAAAATTTCATATGCAAATGGTTTGAATTGGGATATTTTTAATTGTGATGGTTAAATTTAATGTGTTAACGATGTATTTATGGTTGTGATAATTTGATGTGTTAAGGTTAATGTGTAGACATTTTATTGATAAGGTACTAGCCGCTCCCACATGAGAAGTGAAGACTTATCATATTTTTCATATCAAAGGCTCTCCCCGTGCATGTTTTTAGTCTGATTTTAATAGTATTACATCCGCTACTGCTAGAAAAATGATCTTCTGTTACGTAACAGTTATCATAATTAATTGGTCGCTCCATAATTTACAAAGATAAGGCAATTTTGTAATTCATGTAAGATTTTTATCTTTCATTTCATGAAAATCATGCTGGAATTGAACAGGTTCAAAGTCCATGCTGCATGGAAGATGGCTCTCTGGGTGGTGCGGAGCTCCCGTCGTGACTCTGGCCAAAAATAAACCAGCCACCGTGGCCCTTGAGAAACTAGTCTCATTCGCCCCCATGGATAATCCTATTTGTATAATTGGACTTTTAACTAGTCTCAACTTTCCCGTCTACTTTTTCCTTGATTTCACTTGCATCATGCAAGTAATTAAATTTATGTTGGATTAAATTTCATAATTTTTTTCTAGATCGTATCATAATTCCAGAATCGATACCTGGTGTTTTTTTACTGAAAACGTTTCTTGGAAATTTGTGTTAAATAAATTTAGGTATGCATTTTTATTCCACTTTTATCATCACTTTACAATCAAGCATTATTATATTTCTGTGAAATAACTTCTTTTCTAGGTCAATTTCTTACACACTTTTTAATTCCTGACTTCTCAAATGGAAGAGAAGAAAGTTGGCTAATTGGGTTGCAAAATTCTTTCCTTGGTTGGTAAAAAGTGTGAATCCCGCCTGAGCCGCCCCCCGTGTCGTTGTCGCTGGCTTATCATTATTATTGCTATTATTACTGACAATTAGGGAACAACAAGTTGGGGGCGAGGAAAGGAAATTAGATATCATCCGCCGGGATTGATTATTTCATGTTCATTCATGAGAGCATCTGGAGCTGATTTATCGGTGCGAGGACCATGACATTTTTTCACGGTGAAGTGAACACACGTCAATAATTAGACTGTTTTCGTATGCACCCTTCTCGTCCATGGGTCGCTTCCCCGTCGGTCCGGCCTTGTCAAAGGCAAACACATCCCTTTCATACATACATCACAGCCTCGCACACAAATTGGATTTATGACCATTAAATTGGGATGCAATTACTGACACAGACCCGCAAATGATTTTAAACGGAATCCATCCAACTGTAATTTAATCGCTTGTTGCAAACGGATACGCGACAATGCAACACCATATTCGCCACGTCGGTCCTCCTCCTCCTCATCAACGGCACATTACATACGGAGACAAATTCAGGAATCATGTCGCATTAAAATTATGGCTTCATAAGTTATGAAGCCATTTAAGACTGACATTTGGAGGAAGGAAACCACTGCAAAATCCAATCCGAGCAATGAAGCAATCTAAAATCATGACTTGTTTGTTGGTGAAATGCATGTAGGGAAGTATTCGTGTGGTGATGTGAAATTGTAAAAGCGTGCATGCAAACCAAACCATCATACTCCTAAAGACACACCATAATTGCATCACATCATTATTATTACGATTATATTATTCAGTCCGACTCATACTTGGCAATGATGGAGTTGTTAATGGCAAATCGGGAATTCATTATTTTACAGGGACGTTTTTCTTACGTGTTCATCGAGTCGTAATAATGAAATAAATTGTGTGACATAATAGAGAAAAGTACGTATTTTTGTGGAGGTGGGTGAAATTTGTGTACGAACAGGTGAATGGGAACTGGAGAAAGTGTAAAGTTTGTTGGTTGGTTGGAGGATGAAGAGATAATGGGAATATGGCGACGTGCGTCGGTCGGGCGTGTTTGTGGATTGGATGCTGCGGTCTGAAATTTGAGCTTATGAAGTGATATGAATTTTACAAAATGGTGAAGCACTTGAAGGGAAGAGCCCGACGGGGACTGCGGGCATGCATGAGAAGAAGAAGGCATAAAGATGAGTTGGAGGAGTGGTGCGGATAGCCTTTCCCGACAGTCATTAGATTTTCTCCCACAATTTATTTAAAATTCCATCCAAGCCATGAAAAACTTAGACCGAGTCCGTATCAGAGGTGATGAATATTGGATGAAGAAGAAAACCCAAGATATGAACCGAAATTCCCCAGTGGGCCAAAATTTAGCCAGAGCATCACCACAAAACTGCTTTCTCTCCGCACAAATAAACTCAAATACCCCTTCCAATTTTGTTCTCTCTCCACACAAAGTAAATCGCATCGTTTATAAATGGCGACTTGATTCGACTCCATCTTCTTCCTCCCTTCTTCTTCTTCTTCTTGTTGTCTTTCCTTAATCCAACTTCTTTCCCCCAGCAGCAACCCGCTCCACCTCCTCGCAGATCTCTCGTTCTTTCTCCGTATTCCATCCTCCTATTCTTCTGCTCCTCCATACTTTACAATTTAGGAGGAAACATACTACTCAAGTGGTCTGATATAATTCCAACCATGCCGTAATGCTTTCCTTCCTTCCTCGCAGTTTTCTTCCATTCCAGCCCCGATGCATAGCTAGCTCTCTCTCCGGTAGAGGAAATACTAATGGTGCAGCATAAGTGCCGCTTCACTCTATCTTGGGGCTCCTTAAAATTGGAATCTAATCATTGCCAGACCTTCTCAATTTTTAAACAGGGGAAAAGACTCGGAGCAAAATGTGCCCAGTGCTCGCCTCTTTCCACTTCTTCTTTCCGAAATAATATGTAAGAAGGGAGGAGGAGGAGGAGGAAAAAAATATAAAAAAAACTGTGAATAGATATCGCATAGTTGTATCAGAATCACAATGCACACGGGATAAGCGAAAGGGAGACTGGATCTCATGCTTCTACATTATTTCACTCTTTCCGAGGACCAAAAGTCTCCTCCTCGGGAACATAATATGGATTAGATAAGGTTTCCCACCGTGCGTTGTCGTCGTCGTTGAGTGAGTGAGCCGGGCGAGAGTGGGTGGGTGGGAGGCAAAGTGGCGTGGCTTAAGTTGAGAGGAAGACAGTTGCTGAGCTGGGCTTTCTCCTCAGTCTGGAAATCATTTACAGAATCATTAATGAGCTCTGAGCTCTGAACCTCGTCAAATTCCCATCGTAATTGTCTCTTAATTAGCTTAAATCTTTCCAAGATAAATTGACACAAAGGATATTTGTCTCCTTCGAGTCATTATATTCCAGGTATTTACTTTCCTCTCCAGAAGTCTTAGGAAGAGATACAGTCGGGATCATTACATACTAACCAGAGGAGGACGGGTTACGTTACATGCCAGCGGATGGAGAGACAACGGGGAGAGCAAACTAGAATTTAATTAATCATGAGCCCTTCCTCGGGATCCATCCAATTGCTTTCCCACAACTCCACATTTCCAAACAGTAGTGGCACCACATTTACCTTCAGGGAGCAGTGTAGATAGATAGTCCTCACTACTGGAGGGGAGGGATCGGTGAGCCTACTGTTTTGTGTGTCCTTCGAGTAAATCCATCCTTCAAAGAGCTGCTGGATACTTGTCACAACTTTGTCTTTCTTGATCCAAATCCGTCAAGAGGTATTATCCAACAAGTACACGGATATACTTGGAAACTACTCGCAGGAGAAAGTTTGCTGCTAGTATATCTACCCCTTTAAGTTGGAGAAAAGACAATAATGCATCAGCCAAGCCAAGCCAACAACAGAGAGCACCTGTCGATGATGGAAGCCTGTCTACCTCCCGGGGTGGTGTATCTAGCAAAAAAAGCTTCTTAAATAACTTTCCACCAGAGAGAGAGAGAAAGAGCTACTTATGTAAAAGGCTGCCTCTCTCGTGCATCTCGTCTCATACTGAATTTGAGAAGGAGAGGAAGACGTCTCCTAATTGAAAGGCGGTCCTGCTGCAGAGAAAGCGAGATGATAATGGGCCACGAAGAATGACTGCTGCTCTGTTACGTATAAGGAGTTATATAAATTCTCCTTAATCCACAAAACACGGTATTATGCAATGCTATTTATGTAGCATTGTTACGTTACGGCACAACCGTGCTTTAATATATAAGCAGAAATTAGGGAAATTAACTACTACAAGGTTTTGGTCGCATTTAAGATTTTAGCTTTTTTAATGTTGATTTTAATAAAAATTGAGTAGGAGATCAGATTGTGACGTTGTCTTACTTTTTTTGTGCATAATTATACAACGAGAAGGAGCCTGAGAGGACTCAGGGATCCCGATTTTTTGAGATTTCGTCCCTGTCAGTTTGGCGTTGGAGAGGAGGGAGAGAAAGGAGGCAGAGAGAAAGGAAAGGCAGGACGGAAGCAATCTACTACGACCACCACCACCTGCCTGACTATCTCACGTACTCAATCTGAATCCTCATCCGTCGCTGTCCTAATGTACTTAATGCACCAGCTCACATTTTTGGTGGAAAAGCAGGCACCCTTTGATGGAGAAATGCATTTTTTATGCAGTGTTTCATGCGACTCCGACTCCTGGTTCAATCATCTCTCTCAATCCCTAAATGCACAACCACTCAGCCAAGCCAGCCAACCAGGCCGTTCGGCAGTGATTTTCCTCTCACTCACTCAGCCTGACTCCGACAAATGTATATAATAATGTGCTTAGAAGAACCCACACCCTCTTTACCCCACTTTTCACACGTATGTTCCTTTCCCATGAAGATTTACGGCCTTTTTGCATAATCGGGGAGTCTATGAAAGCTGGCACCCATTTTTAAGTGGAATTGTCGTCCTT